CCTACATATAGTAATGAAAAGAATGCTTTGCGTTTTATAAATAGTCTTAAAGATTCTGATTACGTTTTTCTGCACGATTATGGTAAACTTAGTTCAGGCAATCAGCTAAGCTTTGTATTGACAGGTTTCGGTCAATTTCTATTGGGAACATTGCTTGGTTAAAGATACAAATACAAAACGAAAGCAAAGCAAAAACAAAAACAAAAACAAGATGCGAGAAAGAAGTACCGGTACAATAACATGAATTAAACACACATCTAACAACAAACACGGATGATATTAAGATTATAACTGACGTCTGATTTAACGTGATTGGATACAAGGGGCACAATTTGTGCAAACACTCACTCATCAAAAAGGGGTCTTAATTGGTCGCTTTTAAGGACAAGGGGACTAACCAAGATTTTTGGTGTTTCCAGAAATCTTGACCAACACCAAAAGTGTCGGAGAAGTTTTTTTTTTGTTGGTTTATATATTTGCCAGGTTATAGGGAAAACTCCTCCTCGTCTTTTAAAGAAAGTAAACAAGGGGCAAAAACTTTACCTTCGATTTTCTCAAGCAAGCATTTTTCGGGATAGCCCCCTTGTGCTTAAAAGTGACCAAATATTTTGCAGTGGTTACCCTAGAGAAAGTAACTGGGCATGAAGGTTTACAGTACAGCAGGGGATACAACCCATACAAAGTCTTTACAGAGATAGGAGCCTTGGTCGTTCAATTTGAAATATGGTGAACTGGTATAGTTAACTCCCCTATCAACACTATTAGTTTTTTCTTTAAAGATGCGGGACCTTCGAGTCTAACGTCCATCTCCGAAAGGGCTGTGCCAAATGGGAGTTTCGTGTAACGTGTCTTTCCCAAGAACACAACGTCGAGTCGAGCTGGGGATCGAAACCCCAAACCCGCAGCGTCACGATTACGAGTCTGGTAGCCTAACCACTACTACAGTCTTCAACATAGGAAGTTAAGGACCATTTGCAAACACTCTGAGCATTCTTGGAAGGATCAAGAGGCTTGATGGCGCTGCTTTCAGCGGACAATGACAGAGTGTGACACTGCAAGCCTTCTGGCAACTTCTCGGATTCAAACTCCATCCTGCAGCCATGCCATAGCCCTGTCACGATCAAAGTCTCTCAGCTTTCGTCTTGGTGGAATGTTGATGCGTTACTGGATTTTACCCAAACGGCGGCTTATATTGCCACCAAAGTGAGCACAGTTCAAGGTCATACATCCGTTTATGACATGCACCAGAATTTTAACTGAGGAATGTCCGTGGTGTCGAACAAAAGTCGATAAAAACAGCAAATTTGGCTAAAATTCCTCAAGGATTTCTTTGCTGCACGTGGTGGTTTTGCCACTTTAGGAAGCTCTGCAGTACGCATTGGTAACCCGTTAACACTTTCAGAGCAAAAAAATGTGAAACATTCCTTACTGTCTTTTTTCAGATTAAAAAAATCATGACTGTCTGTCAAGGTGGTCCTTAACTTATGTTGAAGCCTGTAGACTACCGACGCCACTCATTCAGTTTGGCCAAAGATCGTAAATAACAAGATCGTTCACTTCTCTCTTTGAGCCAATTAAAAAAAGTGTCCTCGAAATTTGGTGGCGCCTTCTTCGAAAAAGTGCGGATTTTGCGATCAGAGTTACCTTATTTGTGTGAAAAACAATAAAAGTGAAACAACAAACAGTGCTATTACTCTTCTTCTTCTGGAAAAACGAAAGAGAGCTTCAAATTCAAAATAAAGACTGCAGAGCCATCTAAACCGATGCGCGGACTTCCGCAGACACTTTTTTGGTTGAGTAAACTCTCTTGTTATGAACGATCTTTGGTTTAGAGTAGTAAAACAATAAATACGTAAATGTCGAATCAGGGACATCAGCGAAAAA